GCTCGTTGTGGACTAGGGACGCTCCGAGAAGAAAAACGGGATAGCTTCCTCTGTATATACCGCGCTAGGTAATTTTTCCCCAGACTTATGAGATACCGCAATCCGAGGCGGCATTCATTGCCGTCAATGTGTACATTACCCGATGTGGACCCTGCTGCAGGCTGAACGCCACCATGTAAATAGCCCTCTGTGCACTTCCATTTGCATATAACTATTTCATTCGTCACTTACCACGTGGTGAGCTCAGATGCCGCGATGCTCCCGATTTGGTGCTCTTTGGTTTTAACCGGGGTTCGCTTGCAGTCCCGGAGACCTGCGCCAACAAGAAGGTCCCGTGCCGTACTGGCTACAAGTGCGAGGACCGTGCCTCCGGCCCGACCTGCGTCAGAGGTACGTCTCACTTCTGTAGCGCAGTCACGGACATTACGGCTCTCAGGTGTGTAACCAGACCGGATTTTACCGGATCGAACCAGATGTCGAGCCTGACGGATGCTGTATCCTCTAGCGTTCCTCGGCGGACATGTGCCCTGGCGTCTCCACTGCAGCAGTTTGGAGTTCGAAAGATTGAATCTCAGACACCTCAACGTGCGTGAGGCTACCCGCAGGGCAGTCCCGTCGCTTTTGTGAATCTAGTAAACGACTGACGCCATTAATCGACGTCGCTCACAAGATGCCTTTTTCACAAGTGTATCTCCCGACTTTCTATTAGTCTTCCCTCGCCGTCTCCCTGCATGTCCGTGTCCGAATGAAGGGCTGAAGCCGAGGACCATCGTCCCCCCGTTGCCCGGGGCGGGGCCTCGCCATGCTGCTGGTCATGTGCTCGTGCGCCGGCGACCGCCGCCGTGCGCTGACGTGTCTCTCCGCCGCCAGTTCCGGAGACGTGCGCGAACAAGCGCGTGCCCTGCCGGCAGGGCCTCAAGTGCGAGGACCGCCCCACAGGCCCCGTCTGCCTGCCCGGTAAGACGAGCACTGAATGGTCTGACTCCGCCCTTCACCGGAGCAGGCATATCCAAAAACATTCTCGCGATTTTGTACTTTAATGTTGTTGTTGCAAACCACAGCGAACAGTTGCAAACATTTAACAACAAGAAAACAACTTGGTCTTTGGTGGCCAGGCCTTATCTTGGCTGGATCTCCTGTTGCGAATGCGCTTTTTCTGGCATTGTTTATACCCCGGAGAGTTTCATTACTATTCCTTGTCTGTCCCCAGATCGCAGGACGTGCGCTGACATCAAGTGCTCCGCCGGAGAGCTGTGTAACGACCTTCCTGACGGACCGGACTGTGTGCCCGGTAAGACGAGCTATGTGTCTGTGCACCTCTGAGCCTCTGGCGCTTAACTGCCAGACTAGTCTGGGCTACTAGACGAAGATTAAGGTGTAGTCCAACTCAGCTGGACTGCGCCTCTGGCGTGTCGGCTCACCAGAGCTGGGTTGTCGCACACTGCAGGTTCGTCGCAGCATCATCTTCGTACGGACGCTGTCATCCAGCTTAGTCCACCGGTGATGCATTTGTTCTTTTTTAGACGTGCCGTCGTGCCAGGGCTTCTTCTGCCGCCGCGGCACCAACTGTTACATCCGTAACGGCTCGCCCACCTGCCTGCCCAACACGTGTGAGGTGCGCGAGTGCCGTCCCGGCCTCACCTGCATCGACACGCCCAGCGGTGCCCTCTGCCGGCGCGGAACGGGTGAGTGCAGGGTCACCGGGTCCCGGCCGTTGGCGACGCACAATAGCCGCGGTCGGGGTGGGCGGGGTGTTTGAGGCGTGGCGGCGCCCCACACCCGGCGAAAGCCTGCCGGGTCTGCAACCAGGCGTGCCGTTACCGCTTGTCGATCTGGCGCCTCGTCTGAATGTGTCCGGGTGCTCACGAGCTCCGCGGGCAGGGCACGGGGCCTGGCTTCGGGCTATGGTGCACTGCCACTCGACGACTCCTGAGTAACTACTGTCTCGGTCTGCAGTGTCCCGCAGCTGCACGGGCAAGTACTGCCCGAGCAACTCGAGGTGCGACGAGAGTGGACCTACGGGCGCCCACTGTGTCAAGATCTAAGCGTCTGGCTGCTTGAAAGAGGTGGTGCTGCTCCCCAGCAGACGACCCCCTGCTGCTGCCACCGGCCAGCACAGCCCAGCTACCATCTCCTCCAAACGACCTCAGTCGAGGTCCGCAAAACTAACTGTAACTTAAAATGGACAGCTTCGATAGCAAATATACAAAAACTGTTTGGGCCATGTGCCTCCATCTTGGGACATGTTGCCTTGCTTCGCTCTCCGATGGACGGCTCGTGTAAAGATGTGTCACAAAACGGAAAACTGAGCGCCATCGCATGCCGTTAAGTGGTTTAGCTCCCACAAATGCGTCGAAATACATAAATGCAGTGGAATTTATCGTTTCTCTTCCATTACGAGAATGACATGAGATGTCACTCTGAGAGAACTGGAGAAGATGTTGTTATGAAGGAACTGGACTGCACAAATAGAACGAGACAATCAACGTCTGACAATTTCCTGAACCAGAATTCCCTCTCCGCAGAGAACTGGACCAGATATGCTAAGGCACAGTAAAATGTACAGTAATGGCACTGGATACAGCCCCTCGCCTGAGACAATGCACTCTCCTCGCCAGCAGTCATATCTCCTTGTCCAATCGTTATCTCAATATATGTGAACAGGACAGTGGAGCAAGCCACTATCGAAAACCAGACTGAATCCCGCATAATTCACGACCACAGACCTTTTCGGAATGATGCGTATCGAACACGGAATATGTCACGGGTGGATCGCAATAGGCCCTCGCTCTGATTGGCCGTTTTTCATAATGTAGACTGAAAAGGGGCGGGGCGATGCGACACCACCCCTGCCGTTTCCAAAGGAAGCAAGATACAACCTTGATGGCGAATCAGGAACTACGGCGTTATGTAGGCATAGCATGCCATGCTGCCTGGTGCTGCTTAGGACGCGTCTTTCGCAAAAGTTTCAGCCCGGAGACTCTGACGGCTCGTCATGGCCACGGATGTTGTGCAGCAGCGCACGCTTATCGAGATGTGTCGCGTCCGGCGCATCCAGCCAACCTGAGGTCTGCAGCGATCAGTGCGCTATAATACCGACTAGCCGCGATTTCCTCCGTGGTATGATGACTTCTTGTGAACGGCACTAATTTTGGCCAACTTTGAAACGATTCGCCATGACAGAAACAACAAACTAATGAGATCCGTGAGAAAGAAACCATGATCTGGCCGGTAAGTTCAGCTGTCATTTGGCGACGGTTGGGTCCTGGGTTGCCAGCACATTGAGAGAGAGCACCGGATATTCACCCAGACTGCCAGCTGTCTGCACGACCTCCTTCACTTTAAAGCCCGCTACTCGCTCCGAACTATCTTGGTCGATCCGGCTGATGAACAATACGAGAGCGTTGTGAGTGGACGGTGTACCGATAGTAGCAGTGTGGCGACGCTTTCTGTGCTCGGTGCGCACCTCCTGCGGATCATCTCTCGCGACACGGGAGATAATCATGAGATGTCACCTAGCTCGCCCATCCGAAATGGTCGTCCAGCTCCATCGCAATGCTGGTATTCCCCGACGAGTGGAAAATTGTGTGTGTGTGGTATCCACCCCGAGATCAGGCGACTTTACTGTACCAGTCAACAAAATCCCAGTATCTGTTTGATGCATGCTGTCAAAATTCTTGGAAAATTTGCTTTCAGCCAGCTGAGCACGTACCTCCGCAGCAATGGCATTCTGAGTCGCGCTCAATATGCTTACCGGCGAGGTCACTGTATCGAGGACGCTCTGCTCGACACTGCCGGAGAGCTGGCGAGGAATATCGACAGCGGTGAGGCATCTTCATTAACAGCTGTCGACCTATCCAACCGACCGACCTGTCCAAGGCTTTCAACAGCGCTGATCATGACTTCCTGTTAACAAATGTTCAGTGGTACGCCGTGGGCCCCGATTGGTCCAAGAGTGATTTGAGTGGCCAGAGGCAGGGAGGGCGGGGGGGGGGGGGGTGCATGGAGAACTGACAGCATTACCGTCAGATGACGCAGTGCCCCAGGGATCCATAGTCGATCCGCTCTTATTCCCCCTTTTTATAAACGACTTGCCCAGTCCCCTGTCACATGGCTACCTCATCTCATGTGCAGATGATACTCCTCAGCTCCCGGACGACCCTCCTCCCGAGAAGCAGTCTCGACACACTTAAAAGTCGTCTTAAAATATCTGTTTGCGAAATCCTGGCTTGGCTCAGCGCAAATTGAAAATCAGCGAAGATAAAAATGACATTGTTTTCAGGAAGTTCAAAACATAATTTCAAGAGCAGCTGTGATTTTCACTTAACCATGAGAGAGAGAGAGAGAGAGAGAGAGAGAGAGAGAGAGAGAGAGAGAGAGAGAGAGAGAGAGAGAGAGAGAGAGAGAGAGAGAGAGAGAGAGAGAGAGAGAGAGAGACCATCTCACCTTCACGGCACACCAAATTTAGTTTTCGGTGTGATTGTAGGAGAAGCTTGTGTGATCGTTGAGAAGCTCTCGCTTTCGTTGGAGAAGCATGTCGCCAACGTGATCCAAAAATTCGTTTGGTTGGTACCAGGGGGTAGAAGTTTAAACTTAGTCTGAATTCCTTAAGATCACGAGAGTGAAAGTATGCAGCACGACGCTAGCACCATTTCCATGTTGGCAATGATACCCGGCAAAACATATTTGGGGTAAGATACCACCACCGGCGTGTCATCGCGTATTTTACGACAAAGGCGCCGGTGGCATGCTTGCTTAGGCCATGGGTGTACAATATGAAGAGTAGAGCTCCAACAGAAAACCCCTGGAAGACTTCCTAGTTGATGAGACGTGGAACTGAAATCCATCAGTCAAGTGGCGAAGAGGGTAAACTGGAACTGTAAGCGTGACTAGACAAGAGGTTTTTAAACCAGGCCGTATTGATACATTACAAATAAAATTTTGTAATCTATTTTGAGGGATCAATTGACTCTCATCCGTGGCACCCAGGGCCAGGTTTGAAACTGCCAGGAGACAAGATGTCAGGAGACCGCTAGGGTCAGACAACGTGCTGTGTCAGGGTAGGAAGGTGTGTTTTGGATAGATGGCAGTAAAGCTAGCGTTTAACATACTTTTCCGTAATTAAAGCAATGACAGGAAGGGTGAAACCGGAATGATAGCTGGTCGGGTAGTCTGAATCACCGGACCTCAATGTGGGGTAAGCCACCGCGTGTTTCCACACTCAGGAAATGTTAAGGTTGAGGCAGGTATCCACAATATGCAGCAGGGCCGCTCCGGTAGCCACAGACATTTGGAAAATCCCGGTGTCCTTTCCGCCAGGACCACAAGTGGATGAGCTCCTCATGCAACATGCAGAGCTACGAACGAGTTCAAGACTACCAGGTTCAATGGCAAGAGAAGGCGCCGACCTGAGGCAGTCGAACAGTTACTTCCGGCGCGGAGTCGCCACCTTCCGCCTCTGCGAGCACGCACGGGCTGACATCCACACACACAATAAACTGGTTAAGGGGAGTGTTACCTACGGGCGTATTTGAACATATTCGTGTAAAATCTCAGGACAAGTTATGACTGATCATAGCACTGCGGAGTGCAGATGCGGCACCAACAAGATTTTACAGAACAGTTGACCTGAAATATTGTTAGTCCAAGTTATGGAGCCAACTTTTGTTGCAGCACTATCATTGTGCTTTACTTGCAGCCCCAGATTTCATTTCTGGCATGGGCGCATACGAAGCATTCAAGTGCGATATAGTTCCTGTTCCCTGCGACTGAGCGCGGGGACTGTCCGCCTCAGTAGATCAAATGGTTAGTGTGCATACCGTCCGATTCATCAACTTGCGGTGGCTTCGAATCGTTTCGGCCGCTAACTGTCTGCGCTGGATGGATATGATTTTACGGCCGGTGGCAGCGGCTGCGCGAAAGGCCAGTTGACGTCAGAGGGTAGGACGGACCGTGCCGGACATGGCGGTACCTTAAACTTTCGCCACCAAATTTTGCTGTTGACCTGAAATCTCATGATCGGATGGAAGGGGTCAAAGCTCACACCCCAAACACTGCTTAGTGTGAGCTCTGAGCTCAGAAATACATTTATTCAAAAGGTTCGGACAAATGTTTAAAAAGAATTCACGTCAATTTCGCCTAAAAGAGGCATGGGAATTGCATGGTAAGGATGTTGACAGCAGGCCGACGAACAGCAGGCACAAGGACTTAAAAAATGGCACCTGTAATCCGAACAGTTAACGACAGCAGACTCTGCTGCGAACCGTCGTCAGCTGTTAATAGTCTGCAGGAAGCACTCCTTAATACTTTTTACTTGCGCTTTCCGGGGGGCTTAAAAGTGGCACTTTTAGTATGAGTACCGTCGGTGGAAACGAATGTTTGTGATTGGCACAGTGGGCCGCTTAAGTGCTTAGCGAGAAGTACATTGGTGAAAGTTTTAACTATTGCTTTACTAGACCATGCCATATGCCGATGGTATGTGCCTGTCCTGTAAACAAAGCTTTGCAGCCGACTCAGCATTAAAGTGAACAATGTGTTACAAAGGCAAAGTGCGTTTCAAAAAGAAACAACGTCCAAGAGAGACCCAACCGGGCAGGTAGGCTCAGAGACACATGTTCTGACGGGTGCTTTTGAAAGTCAACAGATTATTCGTAGCGGATGGAAATAAAGACATAGCAATGTACTTAAACTTCCCGCTGGATTGCTTTATCCCTGGACCCAGTTGGATATAGTCTAGATTACACATGAATGCCGGATATCGTGAGTCATTTTATCTTGCTCAAACGCAACCATACTGGTACTAGCATAGCTGTAACTTATAGCAGTTAGCCGTGCGCCCCTTTTAGCGCAAACGTTTTAACACGCGCCGGGTGGCCGGCTGAATACCTTTTGCTCGGCTGAAAGGTCAGTTTGACCCCTTCCTGAGATCTCAGGCACTGAAGAGAGCTAGAGACACCAAATTCACAGGGTGTAAAGGTCTGCATTTGGACTGAACTGTTAGTCTGTCAAAACTTGGGGTTCCTGGGTCATGACCTTCGGGTCAAATAAGGTCAAATGAGACCGAACTCCAGATTGGCGTCCAAAGTGCCCCAGAAGTCTAGACGCCTGTTTTGATCAAAAGGTCAGTGGTGCTCATTTAAAGTCAGTGACCTTTTTGACCTTTTGCAGGTTATGGTGACCAAAATTGTACAAGGCTGCTTCGGGTTTTGCATTTGAATACGTGTCAAAAACTACGGTAGGCAGTATGTTCCTAAAAACAAGATGTCTGAGTCATTTTAGGTCAGTGACCTATTCTGGCCTTAACGAGGTCCACGGAAGATGTATGATGCGGTTCCTGTTATCAGTTAATTTGAAATGAGCATCAGAAACTGCCCCATACTGCAAGGTCTAGAGTAAT